TTTTAAAAAGTAGTCAAAAACTACTGGCTATTTGAAAATTGTAGTTCGCTACAGGAGCAAACTACAACTACTTCACTACTACCCACCCTTGAAAAATAGATGTATTTCTACAGAATTAATCCCCCAAAAAATTTCTCCCCTTCCTACCCCCAACTCAATGTTGGTAAATGAAACTTTTAAAATTTAAATGCGAGAAACAACATTGAATAGGGGGCAGGGGGCGACAAATTTCACGAAAGAACGTCTCAATGTTAATATTGGCGTTAAAAAAGTTAGGTGTCCACAAATTTTTGCCACAATTGTAGGTCTAATTACAAAAATACTGATGTGATAGAGAACCAGGTTACCAAAGAAACCGAGTGAATTAAAGGCGTGGCAGACTTATAGGACGTTCCGACGCTGTTTGCTTTAATGTGAACGTAGTTTTACGTACCAGTGGTTAGCCAGAATTCATTGAGAAGTGATGCGCCACACACACCGCGTCCATCCAGTTTCAACAACGCATGCCAGGGATATGAACCAGGCACTGCATCATTTCCTCCAACTATATTGCCACGGCATCCTTGACGATATTCATTGGCAAAACTGGAATTGCCGCACACTGCAGAAAAATAGCAACAGAAAGGCACTCAGCACCATTTTATTCTGCTCATTTTAATCGGTTTATCGATGCAAAGTATGTGCTATAGATATATCAGTCACCTGATTTTAGCAGATAAAAGTATATATCAAGAGAGCTTATTGGTTAACATAAACTCATACTGGTTAGAGTGGTATAACAATCGACACAACGGTAGGAGGAGCAAATCGACCGGTACAAGTTGAGAAATACATAAATAGTTAACGAAAGTATACCGTATATCCTGTTCCATGTCAATTGCTGGAGTCTCTAGAAATGCCAATTTCACAAACCAATGCGCTATATCTCATTATTTTGTCTGGTGCACACTGTATTGTATTGTGAAAGTCTTTCAATATAATATACCAAACAATGTTGAAAGGAGAAAATTTCTTATTGAACAAAACGACATTATTGCGTTTTTAAAAAAGATGGCATTATAAATGAGAATTTTTGTTACACAATATTTTGTTTATTGTTAGTCTTCTTTCCCAACTCCACAAAGTAATAGGCTACTTAAAGTAAATTTTGCAAACATGTGTTGCTATAGCAACAATCCATATGTTACTACAACTGATATAATGTGAGTAAAAAACATTAAAATAGATGAATATGCCGATATCTTCTGTTTGCGATGTTTAAAACTGTGCTTTTCTACTTTCCGCGTGCTCATAAAGCACTCCAAATTATGAAAACGTGTTAATTATATACAGTAGTACAGTACTGCTCAGAAATAACCTAACACTGCGTTCGCGTTCCGAACGCGATGCATTGGAACGCGTTCCAGAGGAAACTTGGAACGCGTTCCCCACTTTAGTTAAAAACCGTGTTCTCGCATCGGAAAATCCCGACACCGAATGAAACCTACTGCAGTAGGGTGTAACTGTTGACAACTACGAACAATTATTTTAAGCTCCATCAAGTATTCTGGCACTGGACGTCAGCTTTTTACAAGTCATAAAATTTGATAGTCTCCTAGCAACAGCTTTGAGCGATGAACAACATGCACTTTCATCCATAATGGAATTGTGGAGATACTGTATGTAGCAAAGATATGAACATTTCACCTCGCCTTGTGAACCAGAGGCGGCCTCGGCTCCACAAAATCTACTGCCTCATCATCAGTCAATGACATCTCAGTCAATTAGTGTTAAGTTAGGTATAGAACATTCTTACATTCTACCCAGCCATTGTGAACAGAATAGTGGAAATGTGGAATAATTAGTATTATATAATTGTTAAATAATTTGTACCTGGGACACACTCAGGCAGATCGTCCGACCACAATCCATCATCTTCACATGTTAATTCACTCTCTCCATAAAGTTCATAAAAATCATCACAGTCAAACCAAACTGATTCTCCAAAGGTTAAACCTCCTATGCGAACTCTGCCCCGTATTGGAATTCCCGGATGACCGCAGGAAATAGCTAGCGAAAAAACAACAATAAATTGCTAAGATTATAAATTGCTACCTAACGCTTTGTCCCTTACTTGAATTTATATTGGTATTGAACCATCATCTGCAATCAAGTGTGAAAAACGAGGTGTGCGCTAAATTCTAAAGAACGCCTGCAGTTCAAAGGTGATCTTAATGTTTACTCGCCTCTGCAGCTCTGGTTGCCACCATGTGGCTCCTGTCTGATCACCAGACACTGCAGTTCAGGTAAAAGTGTTAATTAATAGCTAGATACATTTATATGAGTTCCAAGCAATAAAATTGGGGGTGGAGGGGGTGCAGTAGTTCTCGAGTAATACCTTGCGCTTCGACCAATTGCAGTAACTGCTTGGATTCAGGCAGTGGTAGGGCGCTGCTCTCTACCCATAGTTTTCCGAAACAAACGTTCAACAATTAGTGACGGGACCTGAAATTTTACTGAACAAACACCTTATCTTGTTACATATTGCAATATTGCTTTGGTCTTCCTTAAAATTAAATTTGAACTGCATTTAGAAAATGCTTTCCGGGACTGTTTTCATTTAACCGTGAGACAAGAAATTTTTCCCTTCACTACTAATTGAATACTTACCCTCACAAACAGGCGGATTCATGGTCCATATTCCAGTACTTCTACACCATGTCCGTGATACTCCGTTCATAATATAACCGGGAAGGCATGAAAACAAGATCTCATCTTTAAAGGAAAATCCTGTCGCATTCATCCTACCATTCAATGGACTCTTTAGTTCTGGACATTTCACTCCTGCAAAAATGTATATATTTCAATAGTTGCAAAGTAAATATTTGAAACAGTACAAAAGTAAACATTGATTGATTGATTGATTGATTGATTGATTTGATTGATTTTAAAAATTACCACATTGTAAATTAATAAAAATTTAAAAAACGTGATATTACATAGATAGTATTAAAATTTTTAAATTTGCAAAAAGTTCAATTTAAAACTAC